TATATATAAATTATATCATAATGTTGCACATCTAATCGAATTTGTTTTTGATCGGAAAAAACCTCCACAGTGTTGGTCACATGATAACTTGAATAGATAGATGGAGGACAGAAATGACGTTTACCATTGCAAAATGTTCAAAATTTGTTGAAATTATCACTGAAAGCTTCCATTTTAATGTTCACCTAAACTGAAACACTAAACTATCAAAGTATAATCAAAATAATAATCAAGAATTAAAATGTCATTAATATTTATATCAACATCTCAACTCTAACGGTTTATCATACAAAATAAAATTAAGAAGTTAAAACGGCAGTGCAACTGATTGCCAAAAGTTAACACGTACAGTGTATGCATATTATAATATTAGAGCGCCAACAAGTGTCCTAAAAGAGAATAGTATGTCGCGTATATACATGGCTTGTTATCCAAAACGTTCAAGAAATGCCAGTGGCGTGAGTGCAGAAAATGATCCATGTAGATTTGCAGAGCGCAAAAAACTACTAGTAGTGCATTAAAAAAAAGGAAAATTAGATTTCTTTTTGTTGTTGTTGAGTTTTTACGCCCCCACTGATACAAATTAGATAACGTAGAACAATAAGGCGTGTTGGTGAGTTCCGAGCCTGCCCTCCTGTGGTGAGAGGGATACAACGTTTCAGTCCCAGCAGAAAGATCGAGATCTTCGATTATAACGATTCACCCCACACGACTGAACAAAGTAAAACAAGCCAGAGTGAAAAAGTAAGAAAAGATATTGTTTTTAACCCCCCAGGGGAAGAAAACATGCAAAAGGCTCAGTTGTTTTTTACTGCTTTGAAAATGGCCCTCTTGAAATCGATAAATGTTCTTCCTCCTTCCTGTCCTCGAATTATAGCAGAAGACTAACGTAAAGCTTCAAATACATTCTATTTTATGTTGGTCACGGCTATACGTTTCTACGTCATCTTGTCCAATGTGAGCCGTTTCAGCTTGGTGAAAGGTCAGCAGAACACCATCATTTCACGTACCCACTTCCCTCACCCCATCAACAATCCCAACCTCTCCCACCACCACCTCTCAGCCATGAGTTCTATATTCCAGCCTCTGCAGCAGACCGACGCTCCAAGCGGCATGTGTAGTCATGCGGTGCCATCACAGATTTCGTCTCCCAATTCTCTGGGTTCGATGACGGTAGCTCAGCGCCAACAGGAGGAAGAAAACGAAACTGTTGGACCAAAGTGACCACGATGAAAAAGACGCGGAGCCTCGCGAAACTTTCCCCAGGACAAGCACGTTTGCCGGTTCCGAACGCCAGAAGGTTCTGGCGTGTTGGATGCTCTGGGGATAACAGTTGGCCGTCAGCGTCTAGGAATCTGTCGGGGTTGAAGGTCCAGGGCTTGTCCCACAAATCTTCTCTGTGGTGGAAATACCAAGCGTTCAGGAGAAGGAAGGTTCCTTTTGGAATGAAATGACCCTCGAAGTTGATGTCTTCCCTGGCGCAGTGGGGTAGAAGCAGTGGCGTTACTGTACAATACCTTAATGTTTCCAGGATCACCGCTTCCGTGTAAGGCATCTGACGTTTGTGGTCAAAACTTGGAGGGTCATTACCGATAACTTCACAGATCTCTGCATAGATACGCTCCTGTATCTTAGGGTTTACGATGATCAACAAAAACAAAGCATTGAGAGTCCCCGCTGTCGTAAGGTTGGCTGCGGCAATGATATTCTTGACAAGACACTGTACAATTTCATCAGACATGTCAGTGAAGTTCCCGTTCTTTTCCAACTGCTTCTGTTGCTCAAACAAATCCGTAATGATACCTGTCCTTTCGCCTTTCTTGAAGGTTTCTCGAACAGATGTTAGGAACCTTGCGTCAATCTCATTGTCCAACTTTCTTAACCCTGTCACCAGCTCATTCAGCCGGAAACCAGGAACATGTGCTATGTAGGGAATTGATTCTAGGAAGATTTCATTTTCAAATATAAAAACTTCATTTCCCGTTTCAATATACTTCTGCATCGAATCAAGGTCATCTTGAGTAGTGTCCTTTCCCTTGAGCAGAAGTCCAACTACCCAGCCGATGTAACCATTGATTTCTGTCACTAGGGGTGCGTTCCCAGGGTACTTTGCCAGACGCTCACATAAATGTTTGCTTGTGTTTGTCATTAGATCTTCAAAGCCCTGGACTCCTTCACCGTAGAACTTTAGAGCGTTGTGAAAGAGTCGTCTCCTCTGGATAAGTTCTTTCCCGTACGAGGCAGTTATAATGTCTTTGTGTCCGTTCAAAAACTCTCTGCCTATGTAAGTCGGAGGTCTGTCGTTGCTGATGTCTCTCGTACTAGGGTCTGAGAGAAGTTTACGAGCGAGCGCGGGACTGTTGATGAAGACGACCTTGCGGATGACGGCATCAACCGACACGAGGTCGCCATATTTGTCCGCCCACTTGGCAGCCAGGACATGGAGTTTGTTCGATTTGACGCTCCTTGAGAGTTCCTTCAGACCTTGGAGGAGAGACGGACCAGGGACGCTCGTTTTCTTTTTGCGGTTCAGTACGAGAAGCAGGATGGTTATCAGAGCCACAAGGACGAGAGCGTACGCTGACAGCATTGTGAGACTGGACCTGAAAAATAATAAATCACACTACGATAAGGAAAGTCCTTCAAGCTGTGGAGAGTAACCCGCTAACTGGCGGGGGGAAACGTTATTTTGCAGCAACTTTCCAGGTTTCGTTATTATTATTTTATTATAGAAGAACAGTTGAACCTGTCTTAACGGAAACCTGTGTAAGACGGAAACCTGTCATAACGGATCTCCCCCCCCCTTTTCCGCCCTTTATAAATTCCTCTATAATTACCTCTATAAGACGGGAATCTGTCTAATGCGGAAAGGGAAAGAGAAATTCGTTTCCTTTTGGGTTTTATTTTTACCTATCTTAGACAGAACTACTTTTTCCACTCAGCCATGATTTGAAACAAAAAGCTTGATCCATCAGTTCTAATCTTTACGCCATGCCGCCAGACGAGAAAGGGGAGTGGGAGTGCAATTTGGGCGTAGGTGTTACCCCATCCATGTGAACCCACAGCAGTGTAGATTGCCAGGGAGGTGTGGGTAAGAAATCTCACCAGTGCCTATAAAAATGCTCTAGTGGTGCCCCAGCATGGAGACTTTCATGAGTAGTAAAAGGCCAGAGGCGTGAAATTAGTTAACTAATGCCTGCCACCCTTATCGTACTACCATCCGAGATTTAAAAAGGGCTGGAATCGTTGTTACATGCACGGAAGGGATGGCATAGGTTGACTTGATTGGTGGGGCTATTGGTGGAATCAAAAGAGAATTTCCAACGTTGCTGCTTTTGATAGGTCAAAATGCAAGCACTGATAAAAAATGAATGGCAGGATTGACGCATGCCATTACCACAGAGGGTAAATTTTTACTTCCACTCCCGCACACAGATGCATTGCTTTGATGGTCAAAATGCAGTATTATTTATTACAGGCTGCAGACCACTCATTATAATAGCCAGTAAAACTGTCGCAAATCAATTATTTTCAAGACAATTTAAAACCAAACCGCAGACACCAAATTATAAGTTAAACCAGGGGGGCATGCCCCCCCCCCCCCGATTTTTTTCTTATTGCCCCCCTGAAACCCCCGATTGGTCCAATGCACGGAAATTACGAGGCAATTAGGCTTAGTGTGGTAAAGTTCCGTTCTAAAAGATCAAACATTTTTTAAAAACTATTAATTTGCGACAGAAATGAAGTCGATATCCGTGTTCAGTGCATCGATGATATGTAGTAGAAAATGGACGCATAGTAGCTAAATATGTGAAACGGGAGGGAAATTAAAAGAATACCCCACACAGATCACTTGACAGGTGTGAAGTGTTGACAATTGTTTTCCGACCAACAAGCGACCCATGATCCCACCGGATGGTCTCTGAAATCCACCTTCATTGCTTCCTACATTCCCCTGTCTAAGATGGAAACTGTCTAAGACAGATTTTTTACTCCGATCCCTTGCGGTTTTCGTCTTACACAGGTTCGACAGCATATTAAAAATTAGAACTGTCAAGGCTAGCGTATGCGCACGCGCGAGTGTGTGTGTGTGTGTGTGCGTGTGTGTGTGTGTGTGTGTGTGTGTGTGTGTGTGTGTGTGTGTGTGTGTGTGTGTGTGTGTGTGTGTGTTGTGCGTGTGCCTGACAGTCTGTTAACGTATGGGTATAGATGACTGCAAATACTTTTTTGATCTCAAATCTTAATTGATCAATTTCATTATTGGCGTATAGAGTATAGAGCCCAAATGGGGAGTGGGAGCTTATTATTGCATTGATTGCTCCTGGAGTTGCAGACGCTCTTCGTGTACCTGTTAGAGAAAAAAATAACGTGTGTACAAAATACTGTAAATTTTTATGAGCTCTTGACTAAACATACAGCTCCTCCTTTTCTTTGAGTATGAACAGCTATTATATTACGCATTGTGAAGTATTACATATATTATAACAGTTCCTGTACCGTATATCTACTTTCTGTTAATTTTATATAAAGACAGGTAAGTTCTAGCATTTTCCGAATATCTGAGAGCCCGTATGCTGGCTTCAGTGGTGCTATGGTTAAGCTCTCCCCTTTGTCTTGAAAAATATCAGCTTAAGTTTGGTCGCAACGTGAAAACATCTAGCTCCATCTAGTATTTCAACCTTGCTTTCACTTTATATCCTGTCTTTTTTGTTTTTGTTTGTTGTTGTTGTAGTTTTTTTTCCTGAGCCAGGAGCCGAGTGGCTTCTTTCGAAAGCCACAGATCTGAAATTGTCCAGGTATTCGATTATTTTTCCCTCTGATGAACAAGACTAGTTCAGTTTATATCGTGCAGGGCTCAGATGAATGTGACCTTAGTTTGAACCCCCAAATAGGCATTCTAGAACTTGCCTTGTTTGGGGAACTCTCGAGACTCCCCACCCAGTTGATGCTGTGCTGAAAATATGCGCAGAATGCGGTACCATCTCTTAAGATATCCTACATATTTTATTCTGATAATGACAGTGTTTATAGGAATGATACACCGCTATATCGTGCCACTACTCTGGCTGGTGACAAAATCGTTAAACACATACTAGTTTTCCCCTCATCTTTCCAAGAAAGATTTAACCTATACAGTAAAAAAAAAGTATATATAAAGGAACAGATAAATAACATTTGTATAGCATATGTCCCCACTCGAAAGCAAGCTCTATGCGCTTTACACTATTTATTACCCCAGCAGACCATAGAATGCTCATAAACATTCTCAGCTTCCTGAGAAGCATACAATGCAAGCAGCTCTTTAAACGCTCAAACACTAACAAGCTGACAAGATCTTTCTCTGTCTATAGCTGGGTACCCATTTTCACCTGGGTGAAGTGGGGACAATACGTGTAAAGTGCCTTTCCCAAGGACACAGCGTCGGGCCCGCGCCTCGAACCTCCGAACCCGCAACCTCACGATTACGAGTCCGGTAGCCTAACCACTAGGCCACCGACGCCACTGGGATGCAATCATATTTTATTAAAGAGAGAAGAATTTGACAGAGATAATAATTATAATTTATACGTAGACAGAGGCAAACAAATTTCAAAAAGATAAAACAACATAAAAAAAGAAAAAAAAAGAAAGAAGAAGAATGACAGAGTAAGAAACTAACTTTATTTACCTTGCTTCAGCCCAAAATGTACCCAGCGTTCAGCCAAGAGCAGAATGGCAGCCTTTCAAAATTTCCAGATAATGTTAAAGGTACCAAACGTATTATAACGCACTTACGCGATGATTTATCGTTGCTTCATAGGCGATATAAAGTTAATAATAATCCGAACGGATGAGCCAGCTTTTTATTACGGTCTTCACTTCACACCAAACGTAATAGGGGGTGCCCACCTACGCGATTGGGTCGGGTCGATCTGGTAGTCGGGGCTAGCCAAATTGAGGGCGAAAAGCGGCCATCGTGGCACAAACCGATCGACGCGTTTGTTTTCAGGCCTGCGAATCGCGCGATCGAGTGGTTTGCAGCCAATCACAACAAGGCTGAGTCACGTGCCCATGTTGACACTCAAAATCCGGTGGCGCCCTCTTCGAAAAAGTGCCGACTTTGCGAAAAGAGTTACCCTACTTGTGTGAAAAACAATAAAAGCGAAACTAACAAACTGTACTAATCCTATTCTTTTTCCGGAGAAACGAAAGAGACTTTCAAAACAAAGACTGAACCAATGCGTGGACTTCCGCAGACATTTTTTTGGCGGAGTGAACTAGAGCTATCTTCTTATGAACGATCTTCGATATAGAAAGTTATCGATGTAACTATTGTAACCATATTTATGGGATTCCAGGCTGCTTCAGCCCTGCAACAGGGAACTGCGGAAAGGAGCCCTGGAAGCCATTGAGGTTAAAGGTTTCTCTACTTTGACATCCAGGTGGTCGGGTACAATCGCGGCAGGGATGTAGTGAGCACTGAAGCCACTAGAAAACGACCCGACCCGACCCGACCCGATCCGATCTCGCTTGTGGGCACCCCCTATAACGCGTCTTTGTCGTGGACGGGTTATGTCGGATGCCAGGGGGGGTTCGGAAACACTAACTCCTTGAAGCAAGGTCTCTGGGGTGGGGGGGGGGGGGGGGGTAGGCATTTTTCGGCGCTCGCAACTGCAGAAGGTCATATGAGTCATTGCGCGCGGGACACATTAAACATTTTCAGGTAGAAGGAAATTTGGGTGGTGGCCAGGGGCGGCTCGTGGGTCTAAAAAGTGGGCGTGCACAATTAAGCTATCTTAGGTTGAAGATAGTCAAGGGCATAGTAAATGAGATGGTGTATAATTTTAGGATCTTTGGTTTGGTGAGGGAGAACCTTGTGATTCTATTTTCATTCTTTTTACTTGTGGCTTTGACTTCCAGAACTAAATCTTTTAGTTAGCTAAACGTCAATTTCATTCATCCTGCTATAGAACTGAACATTCAAGTAATACCTTTCACCACTCCACTACAAAACCGTTCAAACGCACAACTCATAGGACGATGACTTTAGCGTGTCCCGTTCACCTCCCTCAGGTTCACGGTCACAGAGTCACTTAAAATAGCGCCAAGACAATGAACCAACCACAATGCACCTGAGCACTCCGCTGGATTGCTCCGGGGCTGACATAATTTTGGCATAGAATAGCGCACAGTCTATCGCGTTTATTTTTAAAGTGCCTACTGTGGGCTATGTTTCGGCACTATTCGGCAGGAGCACATTTGAGATGTGCCGTCTTATTAACTTAATGTACCGCCAAACTCGCTACGAGTGTCGTCATCGCTTGGGTTATCCCAAAGAGCGATTTATAGGTCAGGTTTCCACTGATGAATGTCCTGCTATGCATAGATACAGCGCATGAACTTTGGCATGGCATAATAGATGTTCTACGGTGCTATAGACACAGAAATGACAGTTACGGCGCCAGTGAGAAACGTATTTTGATATGATATTTGGCTAGTGTTTGTTTCTGGCGTCTTTTATTTTGTTATTGTAGGTGTTTTACGTAATAGAACCTTAAAATTTTGGGCGGCACTGCACGACCGTGCTCAATGGACGAACCGCGCCTGGTGGTGACTGAAGCCTACTCTTATCAATTTTGGACCGCCAAGGGATCTTTAACGTGCGCAACTTGTACTTATACACAGGGCCTTCAAGATTTTTCGCCCTCATCCGAGAAGGCTAGGTGTAGATCTTTTTTTACCATAAGATCAGGGGCGTGTTTGAAAAACAGCAGTAAGAAAGAGCCAATGAGTAGCAGTACAAATGCTGCTGAAAGAGTCATGAGCCCAGAAAAAAAGTGGGG